TTTCTTAAAGAGATTTTACTGGTATTTTAAGAAATTAATTCCTCTTCAGAATTTCATTCAAGCTGTTGGTTCTCTGTCGTAGCTCACTTTAAAAAATCTTTTGTTTTAAGAGAATATATAACAAAACACTTGCCAATCCAACATGTTTTAAATTACCATTTCAATGGCATTGAGTTCACCATGTTGTATGAGCCACCACCTCATCCAAATTGAACACTTTAAAAAAATTTTAAATGGTGTCCATGTTATTTCCTCCTGTTTCCTTTTCTCATCCTAGTTTTGATGTCTGAGCAGGTGGTCTTTGTAGATAGCCTAATTTAGAATGGGTTCTTCTCATTGTTCAAAGTCCCCCAAGAAGTAATGAACCCCTAGGGAGTGGGTATGGCCTGACTCTTGCCCAGCTCAGCGTCCACCACATTTACACAGTGAGGAGGGCGCATGAAGTGCTTAGCAGGAAGAGTGAATCTTCCCACATCTGGTATTTGCCATTACTTCATAGGGATCAGCTGTTTTCACCATGGTGATTGTAGATTATAATAAATGCTCTTCCTCCTCTTGTCTCCTTGGTAAATTCAAAATCATTTAGATCCATTTTCCAATGCTTTCCATCATTTCTATCTCTCCAAGGCCAAATGAGTCACCACCACCACCCTCTTTCAGTAACTCCCATTTAGTGTGTGTTTTTGTATTGACTTGGGGACACAATGATCACTTTGTTAGCCATTACCAGGTATCCTTCAGCCACTGTGAGTTCCCCAGTGCAGCCATCCATGGGGCTCCCAACCACCCCCAAGTCCAGCTTTGTCACATAACTGAACACACAGGTGATCCCACTAAAGAAATATTAAGGGAAAGGAAACCTTTCCCTTGTTCAGAGGCCTCTCCTGTGTTAAATTGTAAACCCAGTGAGCAGAAGGGGCCAAAGCTTCATCCATCTAAGGGGGCCGTGGGGCCAGGTGATCCCGGTCAGCCTGTCCCTCCCACTTCCTCTTTAGTATCCCTGTGGTCAGTCTTCAAAGTGTAACTTATCTTTTGAATGTGGGAGACCAGTATTACATTGACACTGAGAAATTTATGGAGGAGAAATGACTTAGTGGACTTGAGAATGTATGGCAATGTGCGTGATATGTATTTTTTCCACTTTCAAAATTCTGCCATATAGTTTACAAAACAAGTCTATAACAAACATTTCCATCTCATGGCTTATTTTCATTGGTAAACTATAAAATAAGGTTGAAGGGGCTATCAAAGATAGTCATTTATTGAGTTATATTCTGGACACTATGTATGTTTCTCTTCTTCTTCCCTCTTCCTCCTCCTCCTCCGTCCTCCTTCTTCTCTTCTCTCTTAGCAATTCTTTGAGTTCAGTCTTATTTCCCCCGCTTTACAAATGAGAAAACAGAAGCTTAAGTGGTACAGAGAGTTTATATAATAACGTGCCCTTACTTCATTGGCTCATAGGTGGTAAAGCGGGAACTTGGATTCCGATCTGTTGAGATAGAAAACCTTCTCTGTTCTGTTCATTGTGCTGCATTTCACTGGAGAATGTTTGAGAACTTAGTAGCTTAAAGAAATCCAAGAGAAAAGAAATTGCCCTCATAATTGTGTGTTTTGTGTTTGCAGGGAAGCAAGGGTGCTTACCGGTACCACTGGCAAAGCCACAATGTCAAGCACAGCGGTGTGGACGACATGGTGCTGCTCTCCAAAATCACAGAGAACGCTATCGTGGAGAATCTGAAGAAGAGATATATGGACGACTACATTTTTGTATCCTTTACTGAGGTCTTTGGATATTTCTAAGTTAAATGGCAATGTCCATAGATAAAATGTGGCTCTACTGTGATGTAAGGAGATCCATCTGAAATTCTGAACTGATGTCATTTCCACCATTTCAGAATGACGCAGTGTACTTTTTGTTGTCACTTGGTTTAGACTGTGGGAAGGGCAAGGACGATGCTAAATGGCTTTCCTGGCATTCCATATACGCAGGCACGCAGCAAGTGTTGTGCTATTTTAACCTAAGGCACTGTATGCATGTGGAGTCTGCTGTTTCTCAGGGAAATCCTGATCTGCAGAGAGAGTTTTATTGATGGTGTGCCTTGATTGGAAACTGGAGCCATTTAAGTCCAGGCTTGAAAGGTTTAGAAAAGATTGTGTCATGCAAAAAAAATGCAGTTTTGCCAGGTTTTCTGCATACTTATGTTTATTTAGGGAAACATGAGAAGCAAAGATCAATTGTGAAAATGGTTGAAAATATCTGACATTCTTGAGTTCTTTTTTTATGTTTCAATTTTGTCTTGCCATATGCCAGATTTGTTTGTTTGTTTGTTTGTTTTTAGAGCTTTGAAATCTGATTTAAATGTGTGTTGCTTATATCGCAAGCAGAGAACTTCAATCTTTGTTTTCTGTGTTGGTGCTGTTGTTGTGAAGTGTCATTGAGTTGGTTCCGACTAATAGAGACCCTTGTACAGGAGCTCTGGTAGCGTAGTGGTTATGAATCGGGCTGCTAACCTCAAGGTCAGCAGTTCGAAACTACCAGGTATTCCACGAGAGAAAGATGAGGCTTTCTGCTCCTGTAAAGATTTGAAGCCTTGGAAACCCTGTGCAGGGTCACTATGAGTCAGAACCGACTCCACAGTACATAACAACAACAACAACATAGGGTTTCCGAGGCGTGGTTGGTGAGTTTGAACCGTTGACCTTGCAGTCCAGTGCCACCAAGAATTAAGTTGATGCAACTTCAGGCATGTCTTGTTTTGTTACACTTCTCTTTCTTGCGCGTCTCAGATAACACTTTTTTTTCTTTTTTACAAATGGAAGATTTGTGTCTGTCCTGCACTGAACAAGTTTGTCAGTATCATTTTTTCAATAGTGTACTTCGTGTCTCTGTGTGATATTTTGCTAATCATCACAATATTTCAAACTTTTGTATCGTGCTGTGGCCTACTTCATAGTGTTACCATAACTTTTATATGCCCTGGGAAACAAAAACTTGGGTGACTTGCTTTACTGTGATCCTTACTTTATTTGGTGGTCTGGAACCCAGCCTACAATATTTCCAATGTAAAGATGTTTTAGTTACTGTTATCACATAGAAGGGAAATGTGGTGTCTCTCTAGGATAAACACTGGACTGTGAGCCACAGTATTCCAGCCCATCAGCTGCTCCACAAGAGAAAGATGACGCTTTCTGCTCCAGTAAAAATTTACAGCCTATTGTTGTTGTTGTGTGCCGTGGAGTCGATTCCGACTCATAGCGACCCTGTACAGGGTTTCCGAGGCTGTACATTTTTATGGGAGCAGAAAGCCTCATCTTTCTCCTGTGGAACAGCTGATCATTTAGAACTGACCCTGAGGTTAGCAGCCCGATTCGTAACCACTACGCTGCCAGAGCTCCTTATTCTGACTAATAGCAACCCTGTCCTCAGAAACCCTATCTATACAGGGTTGCTATTAGTCAGAATAAGGAGCTCTGGCAGCGTAGTGGTTACGAATCGGGCTGCGAACCGGAAGGTCAGCAGTTCGAAACTACCAGCCGCTCCGCGGGAGAAAGATGAGGCGTTCTGCTCCCGTAAAGATTTACAGCCTTGGAAACCCTATTCAGGGTCGCTATGGGTCGAAACCGACTCAACAGCACTTAACAACAACATTAGTCAGAATAAACTCCACAGCACTTAACAACTACAGCAATAACATCACACATAAGGCAAGTGTATTGGGCCCTGATGTGGTATTGTATGATAAGCACTGGACTGCTTAACCACAAGGTCAGTGGTTCAGACTTAGCAGCTGCTCTTGGAAACCCTATACAGGGTCGCAGCCCACTGCCCGCAGCCCAAACGAATATACATTAGAAGCACCTCGACAACACTTAACAATACGTGTTAGTTCCTTCCATATTTCTGAGTTGTGTTCTAAAAATTGAATGGCAAAATTGCTTATTGGAAATTTGAATGCATTTTACCATGGCAACTGTTTTAAATGGAGGACTTTTATTGACAAGCCCATAACAATCTAATTTCCAGTGAACGTAGTTGGCCTAAGTATTGGAATGGTCTTAGAATGTGGGCTCAATTTATTACATTATTTTCTTTAAAATGTGGTTTTTGATTGTCTGGTTAAGAAAGGGAAAATTGCATTTGTAGTTCCTAACAGTCTGTCATCAGTCTAGACAATCTCAGTCCTCTCCATAAAGATTGTTGTTGTGTTATTCCAAATCATAATAAACCCACTGCCACTGAGTCAATTCTGATTCATAGTGACACTGTATAGGGTTTCTGAGGCTGTAAGTCTTTATTGGAGCAGAAAGCCTTATCTTTCTCCAGTGGAGTGACTGCTAGGTTTGAACCATCAACCTTGTGGTTAGCAGTTCAGTGCTTTCCTACAGCACCACACCAAGTGCTGTCAAATTGATTCCAACTCATGTGTCAGAGTAGAACTTGCCCCATAGGGTTTCAAACCTAGCAGCTGCTCTTGGAAAGCCTGTATAGGTTTGCTATGAGTCTGAACCGACTCGAAACACACAGCCGTAACAATGACGTCTTTCTGTTGAACCACACAAAGGCATTCATATATATGTGTGCTTCCTAGTTTTTAGCTTCAACAAAAATGGCATTGGCCTGTAACATGTAGAACAGTAAGTCCAAAAATATTGCTACTCGGGTTCCAGTTCACACATGCATGGGTTCATTCCAATGAAAACCTGCTGTAAACATGTCTCTGTGATCAGCGAACGGCAGCAGACAAGTTCTCTCTTTAGGAAACCATACCCCATTCACCCCATAGCCCTGATCTTCCCCTTCAGACTTACTTTTGTTCCCAAACCTCAAAGAACATTTCAAAAGAACAAGACTTGAGTCCTTTGAGGATGCCCAAACTACTGTTTTGACATGGTGTAAATCCAAGGGCACAGAATTCTTTAGGGGAGGGTTTTAGGAAGATGGAACACCACCTTCAGAAGTGTATAAACTTAGATGGAGGATCTGTCAAGAAACCATAGGTTCACTTTTTGATATTTTTGTTAAATAAAGGTTTCTATAACTTTGTAGTAATACTTTTGGACTCACCCTCGTATTTCTTGATTTTCTGCATAATTCTTGGCAAGTTGCATTGTATTAAGTGTTAATTGAAAATGTGTTGATTGTCAAGACTTGCTTTTTAAATTTGTTTGTTGTTGTTGTTAAGTGCCATTAAGTAGTTCCAACTATAGCAACCCTATATAGGGTTTCCAAGGAGCAGCTGGTCAGCTTGAACCGTCGATCTTGCAGTTCAAAGCAACTTTGCAGTCCGGCGCATTAACCCACAGACCCACAGTGCCATGCCAGGTCTCTACTTTTAAATTTAGACAACAGAATTTTTAAAGACTCAGACAGAGGGGACAGATTATGTGCATTTGAATTAATGTCTTTGAATCAATGACTGACTAATCATGTAGCCTGCTATGGAAATGAGTTAGTTGACCACTAATGACTTAGTGTTTTAGAAATCTCTTCCCACTCAATATATGGGAAGCCTAGAGTAAATGCGCTTTCCATCAGTAACACAAAGTAGCTTTCTGCATTAAGAAAGCTTGATGGCTCCTTGGATGTTTATGAAACAATACCGAGGGTTTGGCTGCAAATCTATTCCTCTGATAAGTCATAAAGATCTCTTTAATCTCTCCAGTGTTAAGAGAATACTATGAGAGTAGCATTATTGTAAATAAGTATTTTCCCACTCTCCTAAGCTTTTAATACTTAAGAGATTTGATTTCCCATTAAGTTATAAAATTGCTCATTTTACCCTTCACATCTCATACCAGCACATTGCCTTGCATTGAAGGTCAGCATTTAGAACAATCAATTGTTAATGCATTCAGGGTGAATGCACATTTCTTTGTTCTACATTAGGGAGAAAAACAATCTACTTAAAAAGGCAGACACTGTTTGCCAATAAAAACTTGTATTTTTCAGCTATTCATCCCAAGACTAGGAAAATTTCATTTACCATATGCTTTTGCCCTAAATGTTGTCACATTCTTATAGTTACATTCTAAAATATATGAGGAAAGTAGTGCAATTGAATTCTTGTGCTTACTGAGCCATTATTTCTAGCCAACTTGGTGAATGAGAATAGTTTCGTATGCAAATCCTCCAAGGTCAGTTAGTCCTACTCTTTCTAAACTTATTTTGACCAAAGACCACACTCACATGTATTTAACATTTATATCAGAATGAAGAGCTGAAATTTTTTGTGCCAGACCTGTCTGAGCTCAAAGCAGTATAGTCATTCTGAGAGAGAGGTTTGAACCTTGGCCTCAGTTTCATGTTGAGGAGGCCAGCGTGCTGGAGTGAAATGGACATCAGTCTGGTGCATGGAGCCAAGAGCTCAAGTCCTTGTATGTGACATCGGACAAGTTGTCTCAGCTCCCAAAACCGTATGGTAAATCTAGGTAAGCTGACTTAGTCAGTGGGGGAGGTTTGGGGGAATTCACTGCCAATGAAATGTTTAAACTCTTAGCTTTGCCTAATAATACTATGGAAGAAAAACATATTTCATAAAAGAAAGATAATTTTGACACCAAAAAAGTAGAAAGGAAATATTCTAAGAATAAAGAACAGTCCCTTAGGTTGAATAAATGGAGCTCTCTGAAAAAATGCGATGCGTTGTTTTCATTTTGCTGTTTGCTCCAAACACAGGGAAACTCTTAATCATAGGTCCATAGACTAGTGTTTGAAAACCAATGAACTCAAAGATCTATTGGGTTTCTTCTGTCTTTTGTATTCTGTT